AAAATACACTGAATTTTGTCTATTATTTCACACAAACTCTTTATTGGATTCAAATTACTTTTCATTTCAATCACAGATTCAGTCAATGAACACATTTTAAAGCATAACATTATAATTAAATTAATGAAAATATTTTATTTAACTAATTTAGCACTTGATATAACTCATGTATTCAAAAATACTATTTATGGTTAAAACTTTTAATTTAAAAACGTAATTTTAATGTATGTAGTTTATATTTTTATGCATGATCTTATTAATACAATATCTTCATGTGATATACGATTTCATTGCCTCCAATACCTCTTTATATAGCCTTCCCATCGAGTGATCCACTCATAGCTTATGGCAAACAATACATCCGTTTGTCTCTCAAACCAAAGCACAAACTCTTTGGACAAAAATTTTATAAACCGATTATTTTCCGGGAAATGCTTATCATATGATTTATGCACCACTAATACATGGAAAGTATTGACTGGATTTAAAATAGGTTGTTGTTTGATTTGAACATGATAAAGTTGTTGTTTAGAAGTGCGCTAAATATTAAGATCATTTTAAGTGTTGAAGTTATTAAATAAATATTTTTATTAATTTAATCTAATATTCATTTACTGATCCGATGGACAAGTATTATATGTCCAGTGATTCTGACTCTGAGCTCGAAGTGAATGATGTGTTGACCGATAATAGCGGACATAATAAGTCGGTGGTTATTGTTTGGCACGTTGTGTCCACCACTGGCCCAGTGCTCCCACTTTACCACCGATCAGATCATCAAAATATACTCAACGTTTAAATAGAAAACAAATTTATAAAGTACGAATATTTATAATGAAAATTTTATTTTTATTTAAAAATACTGTCCTACATTTATATTAATTTAGTAAAATTGTTACAAAATTTCCATTTAAATGTTTTTTAATTTATAGCTCTTTATTTGTAAATTTATGCATTGTCATATGTTGATTAAAATTTGATTTATCAGAAAATGTTTTATTACAGTCATTGAAATGACAAACAAATGGTTTTTCTCCCAAATGTATGCGTTTGTGTCGAATTAGATCTGCCTTTTGTACAAAACTTTTGCCACAATTTTCTTCATTACATTTGAATTTTCTATCATTTAAATGAACACAACTTTTGTGTCGAAATAAATTGGACTTTTCTGTAAAACTTTTGTTGCATTCATTGAAATCACAAATGAATCTCACGTTTAAATGAACTGAATTTTTATGCTGATTTAGATGTGATTTCTGTTTAAACGTTTTTCCACAATTATTAAAATTACATTTAAATTGTCTTAATTGTAAATGAATTAATTGATGTTGAGATAATTTACACTTAAATTTTGTATTGAATTGACATTTAGGCCAAATTCTTGGAAAATAATCCGATAATAAAATGTTTGTCCAAAGAGTTTGTGCTTTGGTTTGAGAGACAAACGGATGTATTGTTTGCCATAAGCTATGANATTTTGTCTATTATTTCACACAAACTCTTCATTGCATTGAATTTACTCTTCATTTCAATCAACAAAACACTCATTAATTTTGAACACATTTTTAAATAGTTTGAATCAAATAAACTGAAAATTTCCAGTAAAATACTTTTAGTAGATAACAAAATACCCATTTTATTACCAGAGTCTATGATCTATAGAACTACTTATCCCTTCAATTCAATACCTATTTATAGCCTTCCCATCGAGTGATGCACTCATAGCTTATGGCAAACAATACATCCGTTTGTCTCTCAAACCAAAGCACAAACTCTTTGGACAAACATTTTATTATCGGATTATTTTCCAAGAATTTGGCATGATTCAGTTTATTTATATACCTGTAAAGTAAGCTATGTTTTTCAAACATTTTAGTTTACCCTGTTAAAAATGCTTCAAATATTGGTTTAATTTTAAGTGAAAAAATATTTGCATAAATATTTTTATTGATTTATTGGAAATTTTATGTTTTAAAATGTATTTAAAATTAATGAGTATTTCATTATTTTCAATCATTAACAATAAAATAACATTGTCTTTTTATATTACATGATTTATATCACATGACAACCATTTAATTATATTTATGATCTATTTTATTTTATTTTAAAGAAACTATATCGAATATCTTAATAAATAATAAATTATTTGCACGCAGACCTTGATTGTTTATGTTTTATTCAAATTAAAGTTAATTAAAATTTCAATTACACAAATAATATTAATACAAATTAAACTATAAACTATTTAAATAAAAATTGTTGTCATGTCAACTTTAATTCTAATGTTGATTAATTAATATTTAACTCAAAAAAATATATATAATACTATAAAAATTAATTAAATGCATATATGTTTACGGCGAACGTGTGACTTCAAATCACCCGATGTAATAAACCGTTGATTACAGTTATTATGAATACATTTATGGATTTTTATATTCAAATGTCTATTTGTATGTTCTTTGAGATTACATTTTTGTGCAAAACTTTTATTACAATCATTGAAATAACAAACAAATGGTTTTTCTCCCGAATGTAAGCGTTCGTGTAGAATAAGTTGATATTTTGTATTGTATTTTTTGTCGCAATCTTCTTCATTACATCTGAATATCTTTTTATTAAAATGAACACAACTTTTGTGTTGAAATAACTTTTGTTTTGATGTAAAACTTTTGTGGCATTCATTGAAATCACAAATAAATTTCACATTTAAATGATTTCTATTTTTATGGCGAATTAAATGCGGTTTTTGTTTATAACTTTTATTGCAATTATTAAAATCACATCTAAATTGTTTTATTTCTGAATGAATTAATTGATGTGAAGTTATACTATCTTTCCTTAATGTTTTGTATTGAAAGGGGACTTAATTTATAGCATTAATAATGAGTTGTTATTTATTAACGATTCAAAAGTTTTGCATTGAAAACATGTGAATCACGTGTTGTCCAGC